AAACTAACTGGGTGAGTAGATGAGAAAATATTGTCTACTTCTCGGGCTTTGATTGGATGGTGTTGTTTGGCCCGTGGGGGCCCACCGCGGGTCTCGTTTTGATAATCTGAACCGTTTAATGTGTAGAACTCATCGAGTACTCTATATGCCTATAAAAAATCATGTTGATCGGATATCGATAGCTATGTGATCAAAATAAATTTTTGCCAACCGTTAATTTATTCACCGTTTATTTTTTTTATACAAAACTGATTTGATCATATAACTATCGATATCCGATTAACGTGATTTTTTACAGACATATAGTACTCGATGAGTTCTACATATTACACGATTCATATTATCAAAACAGGACCCGTGGTAGGCCCCACGGACCTAACAGTATAGTCTAATCTGATTAAGGACCGGATAAAAGCCATGCCCATAATTATAATATTGTATCAGTAAAATTTAGATCGTTATATCTTAAAAAAATACGTGAATTGAATTTGACGTTCTCATAATAAGACGGAAGTATATTTTTTTAATGTAAGATATTAAACAAACAAGAAGAAGTATTAATAATTAAGATAAAAATGGTTTAGGGGCTCAATGCAGCGCAAAATAGATAAACATTCTTTCCACTAGCTCCAATATATTAATGCAACCAAAGTAACCAGTACATAAAACAACTATATACAATGTTTAAAGCAGTGAGTAATGAAGAAAAAGGGCGAAAGGACAAAACAAAGACTGTGGAAGGTGATCTTTTGAGGATCTTGATTGGGGTCGGAAGAAGAACAAAGCATAATTATCTTTCACTATGAGCATTTTGTTGTTGTTATTATTATCATCTCACTCTCTTTTGAGTTAGTGGTCTACCCTCGAGAATAAGAAAGGAAAAAGACAAGAGAAAATGATATTCAAGTCTATTTTGTATATTTTCTTTTTAAATTTAACAATATATAAATGAGATAATTAATGAAGTGAGAGGGGGATTTATTTTAAATGCTTTAATATATTGTCACATTATTAAATTTAAAAATTAAGTTTAATTTTTGAATTTTAATAGTAGTAGGTGCAGTTTAGAACTTGAGATGTGTTTTTTTAAATTTCAAATTCAACTTTTATTAGGTTATATTAATTTTTTAGAGTCACGCTCTCGAATTATGTTCGAGATTTGCATAATCTATATGAAGAGCATTTTATATAAATTTTAAAATTGGTCAAATCTTAACATCCAATCATTAAAAAATGAAAAGAAAGGGAAGTGATTGAATCCAAGCATAGTAAAAGCTTTGGTGTTTTGTGGGGGGGACCGGTTTGTGGTTTGTTTTGTGAGTGGGAGGCCCATTGAGAGGTGGTTAGGGTAGTGTGGTCCATCCCATTCCCATTGCCCTTGTCAGGTGTCTACTTGCAACAATCGCATCGATCCTCTCACCCTAACTACGTTTTCTATTAGATTTTTAATTGCAATGATAGATTATGTATCCACATTCATGTATTTTAAGATTTTTATTTTATTTTATAATAAAAATGCCTTATGGATGGTGGGAGAAAAGAAGGAGAAAAAATTATGAAGTGATCTCGGGATAGATTTAAGAGACACTTACGTGTAAATCTTAATAAGTGAATTTTTTGTTTAATAAGTTTTATAAAAAAAAAATTGTTATAAAAAAATGTCCTTGATTGTAAGTTTTAACAATAATTTATAAAAATTATGACAAAAAAAGTCATTAATTGTTAATTTTTAACGACATATACAAAAAATTGTCACAAAAAAATTATTTTTAGCTATAATTTTTTTAAAATTTATTTTCAATAGGATTTGATAAAAATTAAATTTAATTGATGTTCCATGATATTTAATGATTAAAATTGTGTGATTTAATATATTATTTTTAAAATTTTAAAAGATAATTTAACAAGTGTCAAGTTGTAAGTGGTTTGTGGCAGCGAAAGACTACTTCAATCTAGGAAACAATCGAAAATCACATTTAGCAATGAAAGTCTTTGTAGTAAGAGAACTCCTCTCTAAACTGACATGTGAAAAGGTAACACCCCTCTCCTTTTATCTCTAGGATTAGGATCTACAGTTTGTCCTGGCATGCACCAAGTAATCACGCGGAATGGAGGGACAAAATTTATAGAAGATGTTTACCCACCGTTTGGGAAGAGGTTTTTTGGATTTTTTTTAAGTTAAAATAGTCACAAAAAATAAAATAAATTATTTTAGTCACAACAAATAAAATATCACATTTAACCTATAATCATTATATTCTTCTCTCACAAAAAAAATCAAAAAAATTAAAAAGTCATTTCCAAATTAAATTTTTAGCTAGGGCTAAAATAACCAAAAAAAATTAAAAAACTAAAAAATTAACCCACTTCCCAAACGAAGCCTAGTCAATAAGAATCACACCGTAATGGGTAGTAAAAAATATCTGTTAAATATCTTTTATTTTTAAATTGTTCAATTCCTAAGATCCAAAATACAAATTATGTGATAATAACACAATATAAGAGTCTCGGTTCTATTATTACTTGTGTTTTAAGATAAAACAAAATTTAAATGGAAGAACTGTCCAAAAAAAAATAAAATAAAATAAAAAATTATGCAAATTAACTTGTAAAATAAGTAGTGCGAGTAAACATCAAAATATAAAAATCTTTGGTTCAATTGTGACCCCGTTTGATAGAGTTGTGGGAAAGTAATTATAACTTATAGTTTAACAGCTCATAGCTTATAACTGTGAACATCAGCTGATTTCTGACTTATAAATTAAGCCTCTCCGCCCCCACTCAAAGAATAAGTTGATTTTTGACTTACAAAAAACTATAAGCTGTATTGTTAAACTGAATCAAACACATCAAAATAGCTTAAATTAAGCTAAAAGTTGAAATAAGTTGAAAATAAGCCTTACCAAACAGGTCCTGTAACCGGTATTTTAGGACAAAACAAAATTCGAATAGAACTGGTGTAAAAAAAAAAAAAAGAAGAAAATAAGGTCTTATGAAATTTTTTATTAAGGAATGTGTCATGCAATAAAAAAAAATTTAAGAATTTTAATAAATAAAAAAATTATTATTTTTTAAGTTGTATAACTGTTTGGTAGGGTTTGTTTCTATCTTATATCAGTTTTTAGCTTAATTTAAGTTATTTTGATTTGTTTGGTTCAGCTTAACAACACAGCCATCAAAATAGCTTAAATTAAGCTAAAAGTTGAAATAAGCTGGAAATAAACCTTACCAAACAGGTCCTGTAACCGGTATTTTAGGACAAAACAAAATTCGAATAGAACTGGTGTAAAAAAAAAAAAAAAAAGAAAAGAAAATAAGGTCTTATGAAATTTTTTATTAAGGAATGTGTCATGCAATAAAAAAAAAATTAAGAATTTTAATAAATAAAAAAATTATTATTTTTTAAGTTGTATAACTGTTTGGTAGGGTTTGTTTCTATCTTATATCAGTTTTTAGCTTAATTTAAGTTATTTTGATTTGTTTGGTTCAGCTTAACAACACAGCTTATAGCTTTTTATAAGTCAAAAATTAACTTATGTTCACAGTTATAAATTATAAGATATAATTATTTTTCTACAATTCTATCAAACAGGGCCAATTTTACTCACAAAAAGTGAAATAGTTGGGATGGGGCAGGCTTTGGAAGGCTGTATGCGCATGTCACTGCATAGAGGAATGGAGGTGGGAATGGGGGAGTCATGGGTGTCCATATATAGACCAAAAGGAGTTGGGGTTAAAATTGGGAGAAAATAAATAAATAAATAAAGAAAGAAAGAAAAGAATCTGAAAAACACTTTCACAACTCCAAGTGGATGTGGATGTGGATGTGGATGTGGATGGAGGATGGAGAGATAAGAGGGATACTAGACAGACATATATATCTTTTTGATGGGACTGACACTAAACTCTTTGCTCTCTCTCTCTCACGCACATATGGGGTATGCTTTTCATCTGCAGTAGCTTGAGTACCCAAAATTCAACAAAAAATAGTACTTTTTAAGTGCGTTTACCTGCTTTTTCTCTGACCTACCAGCATCCCATCTCTCTCTCTCCATGATCTTCTTATCTCCTTCCACTTTCTTTTAGCTCCTCTCCTTCTGTGGTAAAAAAAATATAGGATACCCTCAACTCTCCAGCTTGTTTTGCCTCCTGATAGGCATACTCATCAGGCAAATAGAAGCACTGAAACTGAGGTATGCAATTTCAATCCACTATGTTTTGAATTCTTTCACTACTACCTTTCTCTATTTAATTGTAGAACTAATTTTGATGATTGGTTTGGGCACACATTTACACATGGTGCTTCTGTTTTATGTTTCTGATCATAGGTTGTAAATTATGTGTTTTTTTTTAACTTGTGTGTTAATGGATCTTGGGTTTTCATCAATTTTGTTTCCTGGTTATTTGTCAGTTATTTACTGGGTTGAAGTGAATGCCTTTGATAATTAAAAATGGATTTTTTTCCCCCCTTAATGATGAGGTTGGTTGAGGTCCTTGTGTGGAAGAGGGTTTTGTACTGTAAATTGTATCATCCCTTCCCATGTTTTGAAATTTGTATTTTGTTATGATAGCAAGTCAGATTTACAATTAGGCCATGTTTGAATCAGGAGTTGGGTAGAAATTTGGAAAGGTAAGGGAAAAGGGGAAGGAAATGTGAATAGAATATGAGCTAATTTTTTATTTTTTATTTTCCAATTTCTCTCACTGGTTTCACTTTTTTCTCTACCTTTTCAATTTTCTATCTAAATCCATTCTTTAAAAAAAAAAAAAAACCTTAGGGAGAAGATTTGGTTGGTCTGCTAACACAGTTAACCACTGTAAAGTATGAAGCTCTACTTAAATCTTGTTGAAAATTTATACTAGGCAAAACTAGTAAAATAATATTTTGAACTTTGTCGAAATCTTCTGTTCTGGCCTTTCCTATCTCAAATTTAGTGTAGTCTGCATATTTCTCTATGGATTATTTCAGCTCTACAATGTTTTAGTTTTCTTTGGTGGTAGCACAAAGTGAATCTAAATCTGGGCAATGATTTGGTGCTAGTAAGGTGATTGTGACACGATAAATACAAGTTCTAACATGAAAGAAAGTAGCTTATCCCTCCGCGTTCTCTCCTTCCTTTCTTTTTATTTGAACCAAAGAAGCAGTTGGGATACTGACTTTAGAAGATCATGAATTTGTTTTTTTGTTTTTTACCTTGAGTGTGTGTCCTTAAGACAAAATTTGGCCAGACCTATTGATATTTGGAGAAAACGAATGACGTTGTCTGGTTACAAATTAAAATCCTGCGCAGATTGTTTCGCACGGTATTTTTTTTTCCCCCTTATGCAAAAAATGTGTTTGCTGCCAACAAGCACCTTTGGCAACTAAATATTGGTCGGGGAAACTGTTCTACATGGCGTGCCACCAATGGAGCCATTTTGTCACAATTGACTATGTTTCCGCAACTACAAGCATTTGTGTCACCAAATTTTTATCTTTTGGTGACTAAAAATTTAGGTCTCCAAACTGCTAGGCAAATGTGCCTTGTAGTGAGGATATCAAGGTTTTGAATATCGTACCCCATTTTTCTTTATTATAATGAGAACCAGATTTTAATTTACCCTTTGTTGTTGAATTATATCTTCCAAATCAAGAGACATCTTTAGTTCTGTCTTCTTCAGTTTTAAATGTATAACGCTTACGTTGTGTTTGGTTGGAGTATTTGGGAAGGGAAAGGGAAACGGAAAAGGTGTGTAAAATTATGTGAAATATAAGTATATTTTATTCATATTTCACCTATCTTTTCCCTTTTCCTTTCCAAATCCCTTCTTAAATCCCCAACAAAACACAGTGTTAGCGATTTCTTCAGAAGAGTCTCAAATTGCATATTTCTGGCCACTTGCATTAAATGCTACTGATATTAGACTGACTGCCATATTTATAAAATGTAAGAAGTTCATCTGATTGGTACCTATTCCAACCCAATGTTGTTATCATACTTGAGAACTATTCCTTCAAGGCTATTACTTCCCACATAAAACATTTTGTTGCTTAAAATTCACTTGAAGTAAGTTTAGTTTGTTACACTAAACCATTTTGTAAGACATTCTAAAGATATCATTTTGTTGATTAATCTTTTTGTAAAATGTGAAAGGACCCATCATACAGGGCACACCAATTGAAATCGTGAACCCTCTCTTTCAATCTAGGTTTTTCAACCTGTCAAATTTGGATCCAAGTCTACCCGATTCATATTGGATTAGGGGGTTGAAAAATATTTGTTGGTTTGACAGGTGGAGGTAGTCCTCTTACATGTGTTACAGAGGAGGTATTTTAACAGCTTAATCTTGCAGTGGCTCTTGTCCTAGGTGATTTTGAATTTCTGCTTCTCTAACCCCGGTTTCAACACTAGAGGGTTGTGAAAAGGAGGTACTTTTCTATGTATATCACCGTTTCCGATGAGGTGTTGCCTATTTGCAATCCCATTTGACAACAGACCATTATGTGTTATGACCTGCCTCGTGTGGGTTATCCTTTTAATATTCTCCATGACAAGGATCATTTGCAAAAATTGTGTCACTGCCACTAAATTTCAGTTTCATTCTATAATTCGGTCAAAAATAAGTAGGAATGAGCTGTATGCCAATGTCTAATTTGTGAAATAGATTGCCAAATCCAGTTTCCATGATTCACATTTTTTGCTACTTCCTTCCCTATTGTAAGAAATTGCATAGGATGGGGTTTCCATTGCTTTCTTTTTCTGGATTCCACAAGGTACATATCTTATAGGATGAAACTTTTAACACATGTTGAGCAGCATCAAGTGAAAGTACGGACAACTATAGATGTATCTTTTCATGCTGAAGGGTCTATACTTGACAATTAATTTAAATGTTGTTGCTTACCATGCTTAAGTTACATTATGCCCTTCAATGGTAATTGTAATTTCATTTGAAGGCATTATGGTATGGCTGTATGAAGACTTGTCTGCATTGGAAAATAATACATGCTGCTACAGGTAACAGTAAAAAAATTTTGGGTAGAAAAATCTCTTTTACGAAGGGTTTAATAAGACAGCAGTTAAATACCGTGCAAGGTGCTAGCTACTAGGTTTAGATTTAAATGTTTCTTACATTAGGCTCCCTTTAAGGTGTGAAAGATATTATAGACATTGATGATTTGTGTATTTAAATACTTAATACTTAAATAGTATAATATTTATATATACTATATGAACTGCCGACGTTTTTGTTTCCTTCTGAAAGATCCTGTTTGAGAAGATTCATATGGACTTAATTACATGCATGTGTGAATTTATTTAATATGTTCCTCAACTTCAAATAGTATTTGAGCACTCAAGATTTCACATTTTTAATGGAGCTGCTGTTATACTCGGAATCCATAGGATAGCATTCAGTCTTCCAAAAATATTTTCTTGAAATGGCCATACAACTGCTACGAATCAATGATCTAAGAGCATGAGAGGGTGATTTTGATCTCCCCTTAATTCACTTTTCTCAGTTTGTTGTGAAAAGAAAATAAATTTAGTGGCAATTATATATATATATACAAGGAGTGAATAAATGTTTCATTACTGCATCGTTTCCTGAGGTACTTATTTGGTTAAAATGTGTCTGCATGATATAAGTTTTAGCTTAATGATATTCTCTGATGTTTGAGGTTTGTGCTTCCTTTTTCTTTTCTTTTTTTCAAGTATTATTTTGCCCTATTGGTATTTTATTCCCCTTCTTTTGGGTATTTGTAGGGGCTCAGTTTCTATATTATCATTGACACTACAATTGGCACTGTGAAATCAAACTTGATATATTGTTTTCTATGAAGCAAGGGTACTTCAACAAACATGCCATACCCGTTCCGAGTACTTATTAGTTATTGGTACTTTTGCATCCATACTGGATACATGAAACACATATTCTAATTTTTTATTTTTTATTTTTGCGATACTCTAAAGGTACCAAGTACATACCCGATCCATACCTCAGCTGGAATTGAATTGTGTTCATTATTGTCATACCTTCTTAATTCCAGAGAATCTTGTCTCTCATTAATATCTTAATGTATATTCTTGCAAGATTTCCCCTTTCTTATTGATTACAAAACATATGCCTTGAACCTAGATTACAATTTGGTTTACAAAATTAAAAATACTGGAAGTGGGCTATTAAACATGTAGATTGACTTGAGTATTAAATAGTTAGTTGAGAAGTAAAGGTGAAACGTAGTAATCAAATATTTTCATAATCACTTGGTGTGATACCTTGCTATAGTATTGCTTTATTGAACATTTTTTTTTCCATGATGAAGTCTTGATGTTTGAGTCTTAAGAATTTTTTTTTTGGTCTGGTTGAATATTAGGGCCAGCCCAACCTCAAGGCAGTTGAGGTCCCCTTAAGGCCCACTTCTGTGGAAAAGGCCCAACCAAAAAAAAAAAAAAAATGCTTATGACAGATTTTTAAAACAAAACCTTCTGGTCTAAAGTCCCCTAATTGTAAAGACGGTAAATAACACCAAAATTTTAGTTACAAAAATAGAATAGAAAATTTTATTTTACATTAAAAAATGAAAATGGTATTTAAACATATGGAAGACTTCCATTAAAATTTCGCCTTAGGCTTCCTTGAGGGTTGAGCCGCCGCCTATATGAATAAAGAGATACCATGCATAGTTTGTTGAGCAACATAAGTATTAAATTATTCAATTGAGAAGTGAAAAGTAAATCCTGTTTTCTAATAGTTTCATAATCACGTGGTGTGATTCCGTGCAGCAACCTTAGTTTGTTGAACTTTCTGTGCTTAATTAGTAGGAGTTTTTGATTTTGATTAGTGTTGGAGCATGATCAAAACAAATTAATGTCCCAAATCCCTCTACACCAAATTAATTGTAATATATATATGTACATGTATATATTTTGAACACTTAATGCACAATGCATATTCATATAATAACTTTGTTTTGAAATGCATTTCACCCAAATCCCTCTACACCAATTTCAGAATCAAATTGAGGTGCTTTTAGGTTTCAATCTCCAAACTGCTGTTGACATATGATATATTTTGTTGACGATTATCCAACAGTCCCAGTGCCCCTTTTCTCTCTCCAAAATTTATAATCCATTCTGTGATCAATATATGCAGGTGAAGATTTAAATCACCACTGTGAGCATTTGAATCAATCAACCCTGCCATTGCTCACGAGAAAAAATTCAAGCTTGACTTGGCTGTTCTACCCAACATGAAGCGGTCAAGTTTCAACCTCGAGTCTGAAGATGAGTCTGAAGTGAGCAGCCAAGAAATCTCCCCTGATCCCTCCAAGGACAGCACTGCCACTTCTTCGTGCCTCACAAATCCAATAAACGCTCCTCAACTACCTGATGCCCAGCCTATTTCCCTTGACTTAACTCTCCACCTCAATGCCAGTGACACGGAATTGAAGGGCATACCCGACACTAACAATGAATTAGCAGCTCCTGCTCATGCTCCAGCAGCACTACCGCGAGTGTTTTCGTGCAATTATTGTCGGCGCAAGTTTTACAGCTCACAAGCACTGGGCGGGCACCAGAATGCACACAAGAGGGAGAGGACAATGGCAAAGCGGGCAATGCGGCTTGGAGTTTTGTCTGATAGATATGCCAGCTTGGCATCTCTGCCACTTCACGGTTCTGCATTTCGGTCCCTTGGGATGGAGGCTCATGCCTCAATGCACCAAAGAATGCTGCCATCATCTGCAAGGCCTCCTTTGCCCGAGGCAAGAGGTGGAGCAAGGTTCGAACAAGGCTATTTCGGGTTGCCAGTATTTGTGGAAGATGACGATGCAGAGCTGTTTTGGCCTGGGAGTTTTCGCCAAATTGGTGATGGAGTTACTAGTAATATGGGTTTCAACTCAGGACAAAGTTCAAACATAAATTTTGTAGCTGTGGCTCCAGCACCAAGGACAGATCGCTCTTCTTCACCTGATCTTACTTTGAAGCTGTAATTCTCTCTCTCTCTCTCTCACTCTCTTTAACTTGAATTCTCAACGCCATGTTCTCCTAAATTTGCGACACAATCCGGTGTTATCTTTGTACAGTGAGATAAGATTAGCGATTGCAGTGAGAGCTTTTTAGGAAAAAAATTCCTCTTGTTTGCCCCCTCTTTTTTTTTTCTTCTTCGGTGCCCGGTTGAGTAATGCTTTTGCTGCTACTGTATAAGAAGAAGTCTGGGGATGATATTAATTTTTGTAGATTGGAGATTTGGGTTATTGTTAATTTTAGAGTATGTTTCTGAATTAATATATGATGTTTTTCATTGTATTTTAATCTCCTTTCCAAACTTGCTAATTATCAGTTCTGGAAAAAGTTTGCCTGCTTGCCCCTGCATTGTTAAAGGGAAATTTGCATAATAACTCTTTAAATTTTTATTTATTTATTTTTTTAATTTAGAAATGTTGGTAAATATGGTAAAAGAACATTAAAATTGCTCTTCTCAAATTTGGTTGAACTGCAGCAATATCAGGAAAGCAGGTTGCAGACCAAAGGCAATGAATGACATGTATTTATTGATCAAAACTGAACTCTTTTTTTTTTTTTTTTTTGGAGAAACAAGTAGGGCATTTACAAATGAGAGTCTAATGTTCTTTGTCAAGAGACCATTTTCCAGTAGAAATTGTAAAATGCTTCATTGGTAAATCAAATGGCATGGATACAGTTTTGTCTCCTTGAAGTGATAGCAAAAGGCCCCAACTGTCCAAAAGGATTGGCCCTATGGCAAAAGAGAAATGTTAGAGATCATGAAAATTTTGTCATGAAAATGATCATGAAAAATTTGTGACTCTTAGATTATCTTGATTTGTGTGTGGTGTTTTATTGTAAGTGTAATCCAAAGGTCACAAATTTTTCATGACCATTTTCATGAAAGACTTTTCATGATACCTAGCATTGCTGTATAACAAAATAATAGTGAAATTTGTTCAATGTACCTTGTGAGACGGTGTACTATATGAAAATTTTAAAAAAGAATAGAAAATAAAAATAACAAGGATTCTGAGAATAATTGAAGGCAGTTTAGTCATCTAAATCAAATGTGACTTGTTCTTAATGATTTTTGAAAATTCTCGGTTGAATAGTGCTTATGAGACGGTGTGATCAACAATTAGTTATTGAGAGTTTTAAAATTGTGATCTTTTCTATTTTAAAGTTATGATGGAAGATTTCATTATATTATTTTAAGAGAGATTAATGCTGTGTTTGGTTGGGAGATTTGGAGAGGGATTTGGAAAGGGAAATGGAAAAGGTAGGTGAAATGTGAATAAATCATGCCTATATTTCTCATAGTTTCACACACCTTTTCCATTTTTCTTTCCAAATCCCTCCCCAAATCCCTCAACCAAACACCCCATAAAGAAGAATGTTTTGAAGAAGGGGAGTGATCAAAATTTGACATTTTGAGATAGGAGGTTGTCAAATTACTCTGAACAACTTAATTTTATTGTTTTTTAAAAATTCCTTGGAAAAAAAAGGAAAAACAGTGGGGAAAAGTAGAACTAAAAAAATAATGGGAAAAACATAGTGGGATTGTCGCATTAATAGCGTTCCCAAAAGCCAGTGAATATTGTTTGAAACGTTAAATATGCTTTAAAGGAACAAACAAAGAGAGTTCCCCAGATGGAAATGTAAACACTGTTTTGAATTTTAAAATGTAAACGTTATTAGTGTACACTTTTGGTCAATAAAACCAAAAGCAACACACACTCTCTCTCTCTCTATATATATATATATATATGTTGCCGTTTGGCAAATTAGTTGGGTTTAAGTTGGAACTAAAAAAATCACAAAAAGATAAAATAAGACAAAATATTATATTTAAATTATAATTATTTTATTTTTTCTCTCATAAAAAAGTCAAAAAAATTCTTCACAAACTGAACTAATTTAGCTAAAAAATCAATAATCAAGTTAAAAAAGTTATCCCCAAACAAACTTATGTATCTTCTAAGTTCTATCTATAGGTGCAAAAGTGGTTCTTTTAATTTGAAAAGAAAAATGTCAGGGCGAAACTGAAACCTTATGTATCTTCTAAGTTCTATCTATAGGTGCAAAAGTGGTTCTTTTAATTTGAAAAGAAAAATGTCAGGGCGAAACTGAAACCTAACACTTTAAGTTTGATAAAGAACATTTTTATTAGTGACACACAATATATGATATATGTTTTTATTTATTTAAATTACAAACGCGATGCATGTGCCAACCACTAGTATTTATAATATGGAAAATGATTTAGAACCCTAAAATTTCCCCCCCTAATCCCCCTAATTTCCAATTTGGGCAACTTTTTCCTTTTTTTTTTTTTTTTTTTTTACTTGATATGGAAATTAGGGGGATTAGGGGGGATATTTTTAGGGGGATGTAGCAAGACCCTTATAATATTATGTATGTGAGTATACGACTTGGTATCTACTAGTATGTGGTGGCTTTTTCTTCTGTCACGTGACAAATTTTTCTATCATAAAATAAAAAAATATTATTTAAAGACGTGAGCTAGACTAGAACTCAAGACTTTGAATTTTATTAAGAACGCTCTTATTATTTAGACAATATACATATTATGATATTAATTTTGTTATTTATTTTTATACTTATTTATTTAAATTGCACATGCATTACATGTACCGCCCATTAGTTATTATAAAGTGAACACCTTTGGAGGTGTCTTGAAACTTCTCTCTCGTTACGCCAAGTGTTAATTTCTCCATTTAAAAAAAAAAAAAAAAAAAAAAAGAAAGAAGATAGAGGAGGAACATGGGACTAGAACATCAAATTTTTTATTTGATAACGAAATATGTAATAAATATTTATTTTATTTTTATTTATTTAAATTGTACACATATTAGGTGTGGACTAACTGTTAATATATGTATATATTTATTCTTGCTTTCTATGGTTGGTGGTAACTCCTTGGGGTTATTTATACAAAAATCCATTAATATATAAATTTGATCCCATAAATTATAATGGTGCATAAATGAATTTTTTAAACTATTGTAAAGTGTCATTTTGCCTTATAAATTATAAAAACTTACAAATAGACCTGTTAAATATAAAAACTATTGAACCTCTTAATAAAAGTGGTCAAAGTAAAACACCCTAATAATTTAAAGAGTTAATTTGTATACTTTTATAATTTAAGAGATAAAATAATAATTCTTAATAATTTAAAAATTTTATTTATATGTTTTTATAATTTAAAAAATAAAAAAATGAATTGGGATGAAAAATAACTCAACACTTTAGCCCATCTCCAATGATTCATCAAATGTTTCATCAAATTTAAATTTGATAAAAAAAACTTACTTTTTGCTACTCCAACACCAAATCTTTCATCCAATTTAGAATTTATCAAATCTTTCATTAGATTGAGGATGGATGTGCCTTTTATCAAATTACTATTTATAGTTGTTGGATTTTCACCACCGGATGTCCTTCAGATGATCACCTCAAAGCAAAAATTTGTGAAAAATTTACACTGGCTGGTCAACCGGTTGGACATTTGTCCGGTCATCTACCCAGTTAACCTCCCGGATGACCACCTCAAAGCAAAAATTTGTGAAAAATTTACACTGACTGGTCAACCGGTTGGACATTTGTCCTGTCATCTACCCAGTTGACCTCCCGAATGACCATCTCAAAGCAAAAATTTGTGAAAAATTTACACTAACGATCGACCGGCCGGACATCTGCCCCATAGTCTGCCCGGTTGACCGGTGTTATGATAAAACTTAAAAAACTTCTGTTAGAGCACTTGATATCTAATGGATCTTTTACTAAAATTTTTACTCAAATTTAATAAAAATTTGATACACCATTAAAAATTCTCTTAGAGCATTTCCAACGGTATATCAATTTTTTCATCGAATTTGAGTAAAAGTTTCTTTTAATATCAAGTGCCCCAACATAGGATTTTAGAGTTTTCATCAAACAACTGATCGACGGAATAATGACTAAACGGATGTCTGGCTAATCGACAAGCCAGTGTAAATTTTTATTTATTTATTTATTTTGTCTTGATGTGGTTGTCCGACGTTCAACCTGCCAGTGTAATTTTTTTACTTTTTTTTTGTCTTAAGGTGGTTATTCGGGAGGATATTTGGCAACGATAATGAACAGTGATTTAATTAAAGAAAAGTTAATCTTCAGTTTGATGAGAGAAAAAATAAAATCTTCGAAGTTGGTCCTCAGTTTGATAGAAAAAAAATAAAATTTTCAATTTAATATCGATTTGATAAAATCGTTAGACTTGAAAAAATATATATATTTTTATTAAATTTAAATTTAATTCACAGTTAGATATGGGTCCCGTTTGGTATGGCTGTTAAAATATATTATAGATTATAACTTAACAGATTATAGATTATGAATTTAATAAGAAGTTGTTAATCTGTTTGGTGTAACTGTTGGATTATAGATTTAAGTTGATGAGCAGTGCTTGTTAAATAAGTTGTGAAGTAATTTTTTCAATTAACTTTTATTTTTTTATTATTCACTACCTGTCTACATTTCTCATAAAAAAAATAATAATTTATAGTCCATTTGGGTCTTTTTCTATTTTTAAAAAAATAAAAAATAAAAAAATCTAAGAATATAATCATAAATTAATAGCAAAAATTGATAATTAGAAGTAAGGGGTAAGTAGCTACTCAGAATTAATTTTTTTAAGTCAAAATAAATTATTAGAATCAGAAACTATTTGAAATAAGTTAAATCAAACAATTTAAAATAATTTTTTCAATATTAAAAGTTATAAGTTGATTAAAAAAACCAAACAAACGCCTCCATAGTCTTATATAATCATAAATTAATAGCAAAAATTGATAATTAGAAGTAAAAGGTAAGTAGCTCCTCAGAATTAATTTTTTTAAGTCAAAATAAATTATTAGAATCAGAAACTATTTGAAATAAGTTAAATCAAACAATTTAAAATAATTTTTTCAATATTAAAAGTTATAAGTTGATTAAAAAAACCAAACAAACGCCTCCATAGTCTTACACGTTTAGACTTTTTAGAATACAACGAAGAGGAAAGTAGCAAGAAATAGTTTTTCATTGCCGTTATACATGTACGTATTCAGCATTCAGGAATCAACCAGGAGAGAGAGGAGGACCACTCCAAACCCAGCAATAGTAATTGACCCCCAAATGATGGGTCATTTCTGTAATCTCACTTAAAACCAATGAACAAACAAACCTCCTCTCTGTCTCTCTCTCAAGAAAACACAGCCATTGCGGAGCTGTGGTGGAGTCCAAGAGAATCAAAGCAAGGCCAGAGCGAAAGAACTGAACAAGATTAGTCCCCCCAGAGCTGCCCTTTGATTCTCTCTTGCCTCTCACTGGTACGTTCTGATATCTCTCTCTCTCTCTCTCTCTCTTCCTCTCCTTGTCTGTAGACTGTAATCATGTTGAAGGAGAAAGATCTATCTATTGGTGATGTCTCTGGAGAAGAAAACTCTCAGAACAAGCTCACCCAGAACATTTCTGACCAAAATCTGGAGAACCCAGATGAGAAGATCGGTTTTTCTGAAAAGGGTATTGATTTTCTGAGGGAATCAGACATGGTTTGTGATGGGTTTCAGTCAAAACCCTCAAAAACTGCGAATTTTAGCTCCCAAGAGCTTACCCTTAGCTATCTTTGTGATAATTCCAAGTTGGGTTTTCCCGAGAAAGAGATTCCAGGGAAAAATTTATTGAATTCATTAGATAAAGTGAGTTATAAAGGAAAAGAAGTAGTTTGTGACGATCGAAATGAGGATAATGATAATAGATGGGTAGAGAGAGATTTTCTGCAATTGAATGTGAATTTATCGAAGAGAGAGGTTAAGGATGAAGAAATTGAGAGAGATAATAGAGACAAGAAGCCTAAGCTAGACACTCTTAATCTTTCTCTAGCTTTGCCTGATGTGTCACTCTCTCTAGCTGCATCAAATCCAGTACCAAATGCTGATCCCCCGACCAGGCCGATGCCTAGTCGGAGTATACAGTCCTTTGTGCCATCAAATAACAACACCCAAACCACATACTCTAATGATTTTACGGCAGCTTCATTGTCGTATTCATATTCCCACCCTTTTTCACACAACCCCAGTTGCTCGCTTACTCGGAATTCAACAGAGAATTATGAATATTCAGTGGGGAGTCATAGGAGAGACTGTGATCAGATTTGGAATGGTGGGGAGGGAACTAATGGATCAGTTCATAGTCGATTTAGGCCAATAGGAGACGGCGTTACTTTGTCCAATCATGGTGGTGGAGCGTTTTCGTTGATGCAAGGTAATCGGGTGATGAACAAGGATTCTTGTAACAGTCATTATCGAACAACAAGCTCCGATAACCATTCATTTTTTCCTTCTGAATTGCCTGCAAGGCCAAGGATGGACACTCAGTCAGGCGATTCAAGAGGAAGAGGTTCAGAGCACATGAGAGGTGTGGAGAGTTTAGATGGGGGAAGAGCTCGTAAGCTGTCTAAACCAGGAAGGATTCTTCGAGAAATTGTTTCAGAGTCTATACCTGTCATGTCTCAAGTAATTCAAGAGCTTCCTGATGAAACAATTGAATCCACAAAGGAATACTTAAAGAATCTCATTGCAACACCCGTGAGGAGAGAGGAATTAGTGAGCCTCCAGAACCGGCTCGAGAGAAGATCTGATCTTACCAAAGAAATGCTCTCAAAGTCCTACAAAAACCAATTGGAAATTTTGGTTGCCATAAAATTGGGTCTTGGAAGTTTCTTATCTGACAAAGCGTGCATTCCCTCAACAGAGCTTGTGGAAATCTTCTTACTCGAAAGATGTCGAAACGTAAATTGCAAGAGGATGTTGCCTGTTGAAGACTGCGATTGCAAGATTTGCTCGACAAAAAAAGGATTTTGTAGTGAGTGCATGTGTCCTGTCTGTTTGAACTTTGACTGTGCCAGCAATACTTGCAGTTGGGTTGGTTGTGATGTTTGTTCCCATTGGTGCCATGCTGCCTGTGGCATCCAAAAGAATCTCATAAAGCCAGGTCCCAGCTTGAAGGGGCCCACGGGGACAACTGAGATGCAATTTCACTGCCTTGGGTGTGCTCATGCTTCAGAGATGTTTGGGTTTGTAAAGGATGTGTTTATGTCTTGTGCAAAAAACTGGGGTCCCGAAATCGTGATGAAGGAGCTCGACTGTGTTAGGAAAATCTTTCGGGGAAGTGAAGATTTCAAAGGCAAGGAGTTGCATATTAAGGCTGATGAAATGCTCTCTAAACTTGAAAGTAAAATGATGTCTCCTTCAGATGTCTGCAATCTCATCTTTCAGTTTTTCAATTGTAAGTCTGAGAACCTTGTCTTATTACTTATAATTTTCAATTTAGTTGTTAGCTTGTGTGATCTTATTCTTTGAAGTTTATTTGGAAATTAAGTTTTTCTTACAAATCGACTTTTAATATTTGAAGCAAGGTGCTTGTGTTTGCATGATGGAATTTGTTGCCCTAATGTCACACAATAATTTCCAATTGAGGATGATTTGTTGTTACATTGCTATTCTTGTATGTTACATATTGTAATTATGATCATCTGATAGCTAAAATGCTAATTGGTTGGAGTTTACAAATGATATTTGCAATTACATGTCCTCAACATTGAAATACACACACACACACACAAAAAAAAAAGAAGGAAAAAAAAAAGGAGAGTTTGCAGAACAATCGCTGGTAGACAAATGTAAAAAACTATTGTTTTGAGTACTGAAATTTTTCTATCATCTGTAACATAAAAATTACGAGCTCTTGTAAGTACTGAAAAATTGAATTGCTTAAATTGTAGCCTAGGAAGGCATAGACACTTCTGCAAAGTAAACATGTCGTGTCCAACACCAACACTCTCGGACACTCCTAAAAGCATGTCCAACCCTACAAACTGACCTATGAGAGGAATTTCAATCCTATAGTTCTATGTCAACCTACTCTTGAGAAGGAAACACGAAAGACATTTGAAGATTAAATTCTAAAATTGTGATGAAAATTGTTTGTTTAAACACTTACAACTTGACAAAAGATAACATATGATTTATATTGACATTTTTAATTAGATTGGTAGGTCTATGGGGGTATCTATGGGACCAAGGCACCGTTGCCTTTGAGAGAGTTTGAGAGACCAAAACACCTTAGTTGTTTCAGACAAGGCCTGAATGGGGCATGATGAGTTAGTGCCTAGCGGACACCCACATAAGGATTGTATAGGAAAGAAGATCCAAAACCCTAATGATTTTGATTATTTGAGAACAACTTTAAATCATCTAAATTCCAAAGCATTAAGTCATAAAATTTTAACCAACAAAAATTCTAGTTTTCTCAAAAGCAAATGTATCTGAAATCATCATTAAACTTGAAGATGAACTATCAGTTTAAAATCACAAGCTGCAATTAATATTTTGGCCTATATTTCAATAATAATAATGCTATACAAACTAACCACTTTTACAAACCTTTCTTACATTACTTGTCCTTGTCATATTATTCTAATGGGTGGGTCCAATTTGAGATTCCAAAATTTCATTACTGCATGCCACATATTTGAGTAAGAAAAGTTCATACATTTTGTTAGTTTGTATAGCATATCACTTTCAATAATACCAGGTAGAACTTGGAGAAGATTAGTATTGAAAGGGGCTGGGGTACTGAAACAGAAAACCTTAACTGCTTTCCCTGACGAAGTGACTAAACAAAGCCGCAAAACAAAACATGGCTCACGGGAAGCATTTGTTAGTGCAATATTTTGACCAAAACCAAAAGTCTAGTTTCTAAATGGCTCCCCCATAAGCATGCTCCCTACTGGATTTAAAGGAGGCCCAAACTCTTCCTGAGAGTGGCACAGTATGAGTTGTCTGAATAATCTGCATGGTAGCAATTCCTGGTAAACTCTTCTATTGGATATTTTCTTTCTTGAGAGTGAATGATTTTTTTCTTATTGTTTAAAGAATAGGGTAATGTTATTTGTTGAATCAGCTTGGCCCCGATTTGGAGACCCAGATTTCTATTGGATATATATTTTTTTTTCCCTAGAGAGTGAATGGGTTTTTTCTTATTATTTAAGAATAGGGTGATGATGTTTGTTGAATCAGCTTGGCCAATTTGGCTAAGATTTAGGTTGGAGAATGTTGTATGTTAAAGGTTTCAATAGGGTATGTGAATGACAAGAGTTTGTCTTCTTTTTTTCTTTATTTATTTCCTCTCCTTTTTTCACAGTATGGAGCTTCACTTTTTACTACTGTTTTTGTCTGCATCTCAGTTTTGGCCTTCATTTTAAAATAAATAAAAAACTTAACTACTGCCCATTGGTGCTAGCAAGTGTGCTTTTGTTTGTGCTGCATATCACACGCACATTGACTTACTTGTTCACTGTGAAATAGTCGTGCTTTTGTTTGATAGTGAATAGGCAAGTTGTCTTTCTGGGAGTAGTGTGCTTGATAACGAAGTTCTTCAAATTTTTGAAGTTATCCTGAACATATCTTGATAATTTCATCAACTGAACAAAATCCAAAACTATTCCACTTTTTCAAATAGTTCTCGAAATTTTCTTGAATATCCTGAATATTGCAAATAATTCCCTGCACATTTTTTTGAACCCTTAATTATTTAGGATATATATGATGATTCATTCTTTTAAGCTTTCAATATATATTTTCCAGTAAAAATTATTCTTAATACTAATAATATATATATATTCTTAATCGTCCATGGATGCTGGTAGTTACTCAAAAATTACAAATTGTGTCAATGAGGACTAATCCCCAGCCTTGAGGGCGATGTGGTATAGGTTACATTGTCTATTCACCATAGAGAGGACAGAGAAGTAGAAATATGAACTGGGAGAGTTTGGGATGTTGAAACTAGTTGGAAAAGTACCTAGACAAACTGGGGAATTCTTTGCATATGAACTGGGAGAGTTTGGGATGTTGAAACTAGTTGGAAAAGTACCTAGACAAACTGGGGAATTCTTTGCCCAAGAAAAAAAAAAAAATTGGAGATGTTTTTATTTATTTATTTTTATCTTTATTAGGTTAATGCAAAGTATTATGCTGCTGTGTTAATGGGAGATGGGAACAATTTGGAAATTTCAGATTGATTGCAACATTTCTGGTTGTTTCTGCAGTAAAATAAAATCTTGAGGTAATGGGGTACAAGTGGGCTTAAACTAAACTAAACCAAATCAAACCAAGCCTTAAGTCCCATCAAATGGGATCAGCTGTATGAATCATTCTTCTCCACTTGCCTCTATCTAAGGCCATTTCGTTAGCCAAATTAAGGAGATTCATATCTCTATTTACTACACTAGTCCACGTCAAATTAGGTCTACCCTTTCCTTTCCACTACCATTTACCGCTACTGTATCGCACTACTTTCTCTGTTAGTCTCCGTTGTATATGACCAAACCAACTCAATCTATTATCTCTCGACTTATCTTCTATCAGTACTACTCCTATCCATTTTTGAATATACTTATTCCTAACTCTGTCTTTTCTAGTCTTGCCATTCATCTACCTTAGCATCCTCATCTCAGCAAAACTCATCTTCTTTATATGTTGTTTCTTAGTTGCCCAACATTTTGTCCTATATAACATCGCTAGTCTAATAGTCGCTCTATAGAACTTCCCTTTTAGTCTAATTGGTACTCGTTTATCGCACTGTATTCTAAACACACTCCTCCACTTAAGCCACTCCGCCTTAATTCTGTGGACCACATCCGCTCCAATCTCTCCAATCGTTGTGATAATCGATCTTAAATAATGAAAATATTCACTCTTAGGTAATTCTTGGTTCTCACAGTCATGTCTGGTTCAGTAAGTGGCCAAAATCTGTTATCCACACAAATATTGCTTTAGATATTTGGGTCTGGTTTCTCACAAGTGATTGCATCTGTTTATGTCATGGATAAAAAAAGCCTTCATTACAGGAAACCTTTATTGTGCTTAATATTTACCATGCAGACTTTTATTTTCTGATCAACAAATCTATGTGGTGCTTTAGTTTTCTTTATTCCTTTTCCCTTGTTTTATTTACTTTGTTCCTCTTTGTGTTCATTTGAAGTTCTAGGAGTATTTCAAAATACAACAGATTCTAAACATTGTCATCTTTCTTATTTTGAATTTCAACTTATATCCGTTTCTTTCTCACCTTTGTGTGTGTGAGACAGACACAGATGGCATGTCAGAGTTCCCCTCTTCCAGTGCGCCTCCAAAAGAGTTACCAGCAACTCAAGTTATCCTTAGAAAAGATGCATCATCCCCGCGTCGAACACCCAACTCACTGCCTCCAAAGTCTTCCTTTTACAACATGAGCTCCGGAAACCCAAGGATGGACTTCTTGTCACACAATCTCCATCTCCATGAGAGCGATCTCAACACTACTTCCCTCATGGGTGAAAAAATGATCGAAGATGAGTGGTCTGTGAAATTATCGAAGAAAGATAGGTTCGACAGCTTGGAAAGCATTGTGCGGATTAAGGAAGCAGAAGCCAGAATGTTCCAAACCCGAGCAGACGAAGCAAGGAGAGAAGCAGAGAATTACAGGCGAATGGTGCGGATGAAGAGTGAGAAATTAGAAGAAGAGTATGCTGAGAAGCTTGCGAAACTGTGTTTGAAGGAAACTGAGGAAAGGCAAAGGAGAAAGTTGGAGGAGTTTAAGATTTTGGAAAATTCACATTGTGATTACTACAAGATGAAGATGAGAATGCAAGCTGAGATTGGAGGCTTGTTGGAGAGAATGGAGGCAACAAAGCAACAGTGGGTGTAATTCCCTTTTTTTTTTATCCTTCTTCAAGTAGGCATTAATTTCTAAATGACATGACAATGGTATGTAGTGTGTTGGTTTTTTCCATTTTGGATGCTGGTTGTTTCTTCAAATGTGAATTGAATGATTGTTTCTTTTGTAAAATTTTGGATCTTCTGCTTTATCTTTTCTTTGCCTTCTTAGTAGGCTGATGTGCAAATTGATTGTTGATTAAAGAGCTCTAAAACTTGTAGTATTGAAAGAAAGAGCTGATCAGAGAAACTATGCAAAAAAAATTTCTGTTTTGTTGTTTGTTTGCATAATCTATTCTGATTTATTTTTTTTTTTTTGTTTTTTTGAAGTACATCAGTATTCTCCTTTTTGAGCTAATTATGTGAGTAAGAGCAATGGGTATCATATCAGGATTTGGGTACAAACATTTGTTAGATTGGTATTAATTTCTCAAAACAAAGAACTACTATATTGACCAACCATTTAATTGTCAACCACCATCATAAAATTTGAAGCCTAATGCTTAGGATAGTGTTTGAATCATTAATTTAAAAAAGAAAAAAATAAGTTAAAAATGTAACGAAAATGTGAATGAAATATGTAAGTTTTTTTTTCTTTTTCATATTATTTCCAAATCCCTGATTCAAACTCAAACACAATCTTAAAATTCTTTTTCAAGAAACTCATAAAAAAACTCTTTAAAAAAATGTTGTACCATTTTTGTTGCACACAAATCTTTGTTTTTCAACAACAATGTATAATTGTTCTAATAAGTTCTTTGAATATATTTTTGTTGCGGCCCATTTTCTTACAAATTTCTTACGTTCTATTTAGATCATGAATTTAAATAGAGATTTGGAAAGCGAAAAGAAAATGGAAAAAAAAAATAATAAATTATATGTCATTCACATTTGTCTTATCTTTTGCCTTAATGTTTTCAAATCCAAATTCAACCTTAAGGTTTTGTTTTTTTTAATAATGCACACTTGAAAATTTTCAAATTACAAAATTCAATCCCTTCAAAGACAACCCATTCCAGGAAATAGACAGATGAAGTTGTAGTCAATTTTAACATCAACTCCTATAGTTTACAAATTTGTTAATACTTTGAAGAAAATCAGTGCTTAAGAAAGCAGAATTGTGTCTTTCTAGGAAAGATATTTTTAATCCAATAATTTCTGTTTAAAGGTTCGAAGTGGGAATCCTGGATTTGTTCTTTAAATTTTTTAATATATAATGAAAATTGTTAATCACACTGATTAGTCAGTTGATTGAGTGTGTCACTTATGAGTCAATTAAATAAAAGACAAAAAGACAAAAAAAAAAGCTATGTAATATAGTTTAGAAGAAGAAAAGGCCTAAAAGGAGCTATCATACATGAACTGTAAGAATTTGGATTTTGAGAGAGTATTTTGAGCTTGGTAGGCTTAATTTGGAACTCACTTTGCTAATGCAAACTATTCATATTTTAAGATTCGTCAAGCAGAATATTCATACAAAAAAATTAAGATGATTGAATATCGATATTTATATATTTAAATCACATTTGTATTACAAAAGATGGATGATTTTTCTTCAAATTATATTTGTCGTTTATTTTTTTTAAACAAATGTGATTCAAACATATAAATACAGATATTCGATCATCCTAATTTTTTGTATAAAATATTCTACTCACCAAATCTTAAAAAATGAACGATTCGAATCAAAGAAATTGACCCCAAAATGAACCCACTAAACCCAGCTTCTCTATCAAGTTTGATGACTAACTTGATAGAATCCAAACCCTCAACTAAAAATGTAGAAGAAAAAGAAAAAGTAAAAGACAGAGAGAAGAGCAAAGCATATCATTGTTAGAGTACCTTTATTTCTAAAGCTAAAAGTGGTCAACCTTAAATATAAGGTTGTAGCTACATGGCATCAATAAGTCGCCAGTTGTGGAGCACAGTACAATTCATTGAAGAAAATAATTAGAAATAGTATATCTCTCCTTACAGTTATAAATCAAAGACATTTTAACAATCTTGTTTTATATTGATTATGAAACATTCTCCTACTACAATCGAATGAACAACAAATGTAATTTTTTAAATTAAGTTATACACCATGAACATAGAAAGATCTTCAACTTTGTCTAGTTATAACCTCGCGGAAGGAGAACGGTGAGCCCAACAGAGACTGCAAAGACAAGTATTAACAGTCCAGTGAAGTTTACAATTAGTGCCTCTTGGCCGCGATGAAGCTTTAAGAAATGGAATTTCTCCATCAAACCGGTCTCAGCTGTCAAAATTGCCATGAAGAAGATGACAAGCCCAAAGAATACGTGCCATGGTGCGAGCCTAGACCTTGCCCCTGTTTCTGCTTTAGGATAGCAGAAGGAGAAGAACCCAAGGAACCACTGTCAACCATTTGGAAGCCTTAAGTTAGTTTGCAAAGTTCAACCATCTCAAGACTTGAAAAAAAGAAGGGTAAATTAATTTGACACGCCTGAGGTTTATATTTATTACAAATTTTTCTCTCACTTTTTGAAAATTACGTCCATTTCCTGAGGTTTAAAGTTTCATTACAGATTGCTCCTTCAGTTAGTTGATTGTTAAGTCAACTAACAGATTTTGTTGATGCTAGCAATTTAATTTTTTAAATACCAATTTTGCTCTCATTGGGTAAATTTACATTGATACTCCTTACATTTTAAAAATTGCAATTCCCTCACCAAGATTTAAAGTAACATTACCAATTGCCCCATCGATTAGTATTAGTTGAAAAAAAAATTAATTGAAAAAAAAATTTATTAGTTAAATTTTTAAATTTCCGTTTAAAAACTAACGTAAATTCATTTTTTGAATTTACGTTTTTTTCTTAAATTTACAAACTGAGACAGCCATTTATAAACCAAAAAAAATTATCAAATAAGTTTTTATGACAGTTTTTTAAGTTTTTGTAAATATAAATTGAAAACTGAAGATGAAATGGTTACCAAATATGTTTCAGATGGTAAAAATGTCGTAAAATTAATAAATAATTAAATAAGTTACCAACGTAAGAAATTACTTATCAAAATATTCTTAGGTTATGTATGGTTTGATTTTTAGAATTTTTTTTAAAACTTAAAAATTAATTTGGTTAAAAAATAAAAAATAAAAAATAATTGTCATTTTTATATAATTTTGATCTTTTAAGTGGTTAGAAATAATTTTTTACAAATTAAATATATTTCTTCATATTTATTTTTATTAAATTAGTTTTTTTTTTAAATGTCAAGGGAGAATCCGTATTAAATTAAAACCTTAGGGAGTGTCAATGTAATTTACCCTTTAAAGTATATGTAAAGGTTAAGGGTAAATATGTCACTTTAACTTAAAAGTTAACACATTCAAATAATTATACTGACAGGAGAGTCAGTGTAATTTCTCAAATGTGAGGGAAAGAACTGTAATAAATAAAAATCTCAAGGGATATTAGTGTAATTTACCCAAAAAGGGGGGGTGATTTAATTTTCAATTTGTCATGGCAATATCACATTACTCCATAATGGAAAAGATATTTTTACAAAAAAACTCCATAATGGAAAAGATATTTTTACAAAAAAGTTATAATTATCTATCACCCGAATGATGCGGCAGGCAGTGGCATTTATACAATCAACAGTCAATTTGTATGATTTTTATATCAATAATGATTCATCCCACTAAAAACATCACCACTAATAGCACTAATGCATTAAAAAAGTAAAAAAAAAAAAAAAATACAATTCCAAGACCAAAACATCACATCATTAATGACGAGACCCACTGCCACCTAATTAGTGGGATCACTAATTAGTACTCCAAAGCATTTTTCTTTTTATATTTGTATACATTACTCTCTATTCATAATTTGGAAGTGCGGGGAGAGTTATCCTTTTGAGAATTGGCAACAAACTATCATACACACGCGCGCAGACAAAAAAAATAAAAAATAAAAAAAAATCAGAAAAAAAAAAACAAACAAACAAACAAGTCCAAGAGAAGATATAGAAACATATTTGATATATCAAGATTTAAACCCTCAACATATACTTGAAATTTAGGGGGATTAATTACCTGAAGACCAAATAAGCAGATGGTGGACATGCCGATCCATGAGTGCAAGGTATACATGTCTATATTGAAAGTCTCATGGTGATACTTAAACACTGCATAAATCCCCACGATTCCAGCAAGAAGAGCGATGAAATGCAATATAAGATGAACTAGTTTCTGTGCCTTTCTTGTTCCTGGGACTGTCTTGTATGCCATGATAGCTGATTCAAATCATATTCAAGTTACTAGTTCACACTATATATACAGACTACCAGGCCATTGAATTATGGAAATACAATTACATGATATTCCAAACATTCATCATTAAAACCAACCATATATCTCAATCTCATGAAGAGCTTCATTTCCACACTGATTTAACTTTACTCAAAAAATGACAGAGAAGAGTATATTGTTGGGGAATTTTTTCAACTAAGGGAAGCCCACAAAAGTCTTCCCAAAATTCTTCCATTCGTTGAAAGTTCCATACACTAGACAAGTCTGCATCTTTGGTTTACAACTTTTTTGAGCCAATAATTTCTTGATTAATAATTTGTTTTTGTCAATATTTTAAATTTCTGTAAAAAAAGGAACAAATCTTGAAAAACAGACTTCCCCTGTGAAAGAAAGATCAGAGTGGGAATACATGTTATTTGGCTTTCTTTATTTGCAAAAAATATTCTTGAGTCTTACCTTCTCCAGAAAATATAAGAAACCCAATCACCATAAAAAGTGGGTGCAGCTGCCAAACATAACCAAAATAAAAACATTATCAATGCGAAAATTAAGAAAGAAGATATGAACAAGGCAATAAGCAATGTATGTCAGTGATGTTTAAAGAAGAAATTACATTAAAAATCTTCTGTTTGTCGATGGATTTGAAAGCAAGGCCCTCCCGGAAGTGTAGAAGCCATACAAGCACAAGGGTAATGACCGCTATGGCTACCACATGCGCAAACAAGCTGACTGGTAACGCCGATGTATTAAAGCTAGAACGACTCTTGGATGCCATTTCACAACTGTGAGAGAGAGAGAGAGAGAGAGAGACTTATAATTTGAGGTTCCTCAAAATCCACAATATAAATAGATTGTGACTATGCAACAACAATTAATTTACTTTGTTTACGACAATAGGACGTAACTATGTGATCAAAATGAGATTAATGTTTTTCCATATATATACAACTTGTGAAGTGTACAAAGAGATGTTTTAGTTTGCACCCAAAGGATATTAACAAAGATAGAATGTTGAAAACTTCCAGGCCGGCTAACCAAACAGTTGTTAAGTCCAATGAAATAGGATACTTATGTTATTTGAGTTTGTGCAGTTTTGAAGCTGTGAAAAACAAAACTTACTAAACTACATTGCCTGCACGGCTAAACCAATCCTTTTTCTTCTTGTGAACACAAAAATGCCCATTCACAATCAAAACTTGGAGTTTCCTGTAGACACGCACTTTATTGTTTTTCTAGGTCGAGTGTATACAGAAATGTTACGTTACATACCTAAAAAACACAATTCAGAAAAATACTTAAAAACAATCTGATCTAAAGGTATCAAATTATAAATAAATTGTTGTAAATATACTTTTTATTTATTTTGAATATGTAAGTTGTTGATAACCTATTTGCAGTGTGGTAAGGTGCCTGCCAAATGGAAAAGGCCATGCAGTGGGCTCCATAGAAAACTCGGACTGTGCTACCAAAGTTCCATCTATATATTATAATCTAATAAACACATGACAATTATTCACATAATTTTGCTTATACATGTATAGTTTATCAATATTGGTATTTGGTAATCACTTCATCAATAAACTTGACCTTTGTTCGAAATCATATGTTGAAAACCACGTGGTACACATGTGTGACCTAACTTTGAAGGTTACATGATACACATGATCTATCCACACATAGCCGAACCATGAGAGATACATGGTCTTGGATATGTGGTACACGTACACATGGTGTGGCCTAACTATAAGGTACACATGGTTTGCCATATATGCCTATATAAGGACTCATGCTCAACACTGTGTAGACACACCAAAAACAAAAGTTCTCTCTGTTCATCTATCTTGAGGTTAACATCTTAAAAGCCTAGGAATTTGAAGTGTGGATAAATATTGAGAAACTCTAGTAACTTCTTAATTGACGAGAGGTTTTCCAGACGAGACTTGTAATTTAAGCATCTGATCCAAACCGTTTTCGCATCAAGTAATATGATTAACCCAAATATTTTCCCTTCATTCTTGTATCAACCAGCACAGCCCAAAGTTTTGGTCACTTGTCATTAGATCTTGACAAGTAACTGAATGTGGTTTTTTTGGGTAATTTATTATTAATGACAAAAAAAAAAAAAGTTGCAGAACAGCCAAAACAAAATAATGATAATAATCTTTACTATTATAGATGTGAACAACTCACTTTAGTCTCTTGAAACCTACTTTCTCCTTTTGTCAAGTGAATTTTTTATATCAAAAAAGAAGAAAAAAATTATAAAGTGAAGCGCACAAGATTTGAACATAAAATCTTGGATATGGACAATAACACTCTTACTACTTAATCAACAAACCCTACATATATTTCTAATTCAAAATCAAAATTTATATTTTACAAATTTAATACCACACCCATCAAATTTTACACCCCTAGTAATAATAAAACTTCACCAGTCGCACACCCAGCAGCAAAACATTAATAAAAAAAACCGAGTCTACGGAAATAAAAGAATTCTAAGAAACATATCAACAAACACCTTGGCTACGCCAATTAGGAACCTGTTTTCTTTCCTAGTTTCAACACAAAATCCGGACGACGTCAATAAACAAACAAAACAATACACCTAAAAGCTAATGCTATATGCACCAATTAGTACACTAATTAGTGTACTAATTGATAATGAACATAATTTAAGATATTTTTAGTATTTATAATTTGTATAATGAGTGGAATCAATAATAATATCATAAACAATGCTAGTACATTAATTAGTACATTAACTGGCACTTGTAGCATTAATCTACCTTAAAATAAAGGAGATAAAAAATTTCCGTAAACACTACAAACATAACACACCCACTCCACTTTGGCATGCAACATTTAAGACATCTTAAAATCCAAACTAGAGGTAATGAACTCAACTTGAAATAACAAATCCGCCTAATTATATTTATTTAAAATCCTTTTAAACATATACAAATTTATAACACTATTACCATCGTCACCACCGCTATATCATCTATTGGAGAAAAAAAAAAAAAATCAATAAAGTAAATGGATTGGTTGGTTCATTTGTCCAACATATATCTAGTTAAATCCAACTTGCTTAAACTCCAGTATTTATAAGGGCGTGTTTGGGTTGAGTTGCTATGAACACGTAATCTGTTTTGTCCCATTGTTAGTAAAGAAATTCTGTTTATCCCCCATCGACATGAACAAAACAAAAATTTTAACTAAACAACAAAACAAAATATCAGACGACTACTATATAAAGTATCTAATACCTTGAAAGGACAACAATTAATAATTAAAGAGTAAAGTAAACAGAAAAATAAAAGAGAGAAATAAGAAGTACGTTACTGAATTGAGAACAACCACTACAAGAGCAAGATGATTACAATTTTAGAAAAAAATATTACCTTGCAACTACTCCTGCTCCTAAAATTGAAGTTGTTATCACAACTACAATTCATAACTACTTAGAAATACTACTCCTAATGATAAAATATATCTTGATCTTGATGTTTGTTAATGATCTCTTTGTTTGATCTCCCTTAGCCTATAAATAGCCTCAGTCCCACAGTTAGAAAACTGCCTAGCAGTTTTCCTTCACTCATGCATCTTGCCACATAAGAGAATGAAACTGTATGAAGTAATTGATGCCAAAACGTGGTGCCATCACATTCACTTGATTTAGGCAACTAATTTGCAGCCATGTGTCCCTTAAATTCCTTATCTTGTACAACTTTCATTGACCTCCAATAAGCCAAAAAATAATAATAAATATAAATATAAATGTTGTTTATGTCTCATAACATAATCGACAGATCACAATCAATAAAATTAGATTTAGTTACAATTGATAGGCCACAATCAACAAAATATATATATATATATTTATGATGCAAACACCCGTCCCAACCTTGCTTTGCCATCACTAATCCAAAGCCTATAACATGCAATCCTGTATATCAATAATGTTAGAAATACTAACAAACATATCAATTAAAACACAAATCTTGTACTTTCTAAACGCAAATATTTTTATAATTTTGAATTATTAACGGATACTTTATAGATACCAAATGGATAGTAATTGAGTATAACTGTTAAGACATGACATTTTTCTTGTGTAGAGCATACTTGTTAGTTACCTCATAGCCAAAAAAAAGAAGTTTATAATTATTAAAATAAATGTACGAAAAATTTCTAATACCGTACTAGAGCAGAAAAATGATAAATAATTGAGACCAAGACTTGTCAAATTTGGTTGGAAAAAGTTTGGGGACCAGACTTAAAGCCTAGATTTTTCTGGGCAGGGAATTGTGTGGTACAGATTAGATTTGTGTATTGTAAAGTTTATATGTAAAATAAATCTGAACTACAGGATAATAATTTTGAGTAGTTAAGTCTAGGTTTGTAGCATTACTGATTTGGTTGAGTTCATCCAATTAGGACTAGTTCAGTTCCTCACTCCATAATCCTTCTTAGGTATTTCTTGTCAAAGATATGGTTTGATTGTTTGAATTGATTACTTCCTGCTCAGTATATGGCTCTTTATTGTTGCCTTTTTTTTTTTTTTTTTTTTTGTATGAATTGAGTTTGAGAACTGTTCGTATTATTAAAATAAGACTTGTGATAGGCCTATAGGACTCAACATATCTCTTTAAGTTTAAATTTAAACTTAAAATAATCTAAACCATTTCACTATATATTGATTGTCCAATTTTATGCAATTTTGATAATGTTTATACATAACATTTTACTGATTGATATATATATATAAAAAAAAAAAAAGTCCTAATTTGTGTCCGCGTAACATCACTTTAATATCTTTTATGTGAATATATTATAAATATGATTTGAAAATAAATATTGACAAATACTTATTATTATTTGTTTATGTTTTTGATAATTCAAATACATAGTATATATTAAAACTGGAGACGAGGAGCACCAAAGTCATAGTTGTTGGTGATGACCAATACTAAACCTTCCGACCTCTCGCCAGGTGAGGATTTGGAGATCATGTTGTCACAATGGGGATCTGTGGTGTCTAGATAGATATGAGGGTAATATAGTAAAAGAAACAAGTTTTAAAATATCAGGGGGTTTTGAAAGTACTTATATAATTCTTGTCCTTTTGAAAGAGAAATTAGATAGTGAGGGGACTATGACCAAATCGCCCAAAAATATAGTGGGATTAGAAGGGAAATAGATCCCCTACATAGGACTATATAGTAATTTTCCATTAATTTAGTTTGAAATTTAATTATTTAATCCAGCCCACCCATAACTATTTTCATAATATTATGGTTGGTTTGGCATCCATGAAAAAAGATAAAAAACTAAAAAGTTATTAAAAATATCAAAAAGTTATCACTATTCACACAAAAAAAAATATTAAAAAAATAAATTTACAAAAAAAAGTACAAGTCAAAAAGAGTATTGAAGTGATGTGCTGTCTGCAGTGCTATTGGTACACATTAGATAGCGGGATGCATTTCTCATGATACATAGGACAATGTTGTTCGGCCAGGAGGTGCCCATCATGGGTCTTGTTTTGATAATCTAAACCGTTTAATGTGTAAAACTCGATGAGTATTATATGCCTGTAAAAAATCACGTTAATCAGATATCGATAAGTATATGATCAAATCAATTTTGTATAAAAAACAGGACGGTACACAAAGTAACGATTGAAAAAAAACTAATTTGATCAGATAGCTATTGATATTGGATCAACGTGATTTTTTATCAGCATATAGTACTCAACGAGTTCTACACATTCAATGGTTCCGATTATCAAAACGGGACACGTGGTGGGCCTCCACGGGCCAAACAGCACCGTCCAGTCAGAACAGCACCGTAGGCAATCTGGTCCTATACATCTTGCTGCCAACCGTATGCATGACTAGGGGTGAGCAGCGGATATACCGATCCGCCAAAACCGACCGAACCAAACCGATCCGCCGCATTTTGGACGGATGCGTGATGACGAGCGGACGGTTGCGGATTGATTTTCTCAAATCCGCCAATTTGGCGGACGGATGGCGGATTTGAGATTTTTTGGCCGCAACCGAACCGCCAAACCGCCAAATCGCAAGCACCCCTAGTAATTTATAAGACTTTGTATTTTCAATTTGTTTAAATATTATGTTTGTGTTTTCAATTGAAAAAGAGTTTAAATATTCTGTTGAAAAAAAGTTTTCAACTTGAATATATTTTTTGAATTGAAAAAAATAAACGTATTATTCATATATATTTTTTAGTTTTTAATGTAACTCTAAAAATAATAAATAGAAAATATGATATATGCTGGTTGGTTTTTGTTTTCAAAAACATATGTAGATGTAACAATACAGAGACATTCAATCTTCTACTACTGCTCTGTTCATGGTTTTGGTGATTTGAATTGTTATTATATTTTAAGAATCACAGATTGTAATACTTTATGGGGATGAATCATACTGTGATTGTAATATGTGGATGAGGCATGCAGTGATCATGATATTCTAAGTTTCAAACTTTTTTCTTTGGATAAGGCATACAGTGATTGTAATTTTTTTTTAAGTCATTGACTGTAATGCTTTCTTTTTCTTTTTTTTCTTTTTTTGTTTGAGGAAGTGCACAAGTTGAATTATGTTAAAAAATTTATAAAATTTTAACCGCCAAACCGATTCGCATCCATCCGCCAAACCGCCAATCCGCTCAATCCACATCCGCCGGATTGGCGGACGGATGCGGATTGATTTTCTTCAATCCGCCAATCTGGCGGACGGATGGCGGATTGGAGGTTCCGTGGCCGCAACGCACCGCGCCCACCCCTACATGACGGTAACCATCACTGTCAGTAGGCGATTATATATTTAGGGGTAATTTGGTAATTTTGCTATTGTTACAATATTTTAATATACATTTTTTGGTAAAAAATCAAAAGTTATTCTAAACATACATCTTTTTTTCCTTTACTTTTTTACCAAAAGTCAAAAAGTGCATTTATTTAGAACACCTAAACAACCCTTAATATTATTTATTTATTCTAATGTAGTTTTGTTCTAATGCATAGGGAAACTTTGTCCTTGAATTGATGTATAATGTACAAAAGTCTCTTATAATGAGAGCATCCCTACCCCGTGTTAACCAAGGCAGTAGCGCATTTGGTAAAGGCCTGTGGGTTAAAATCTCAAGTCTCAAGTTTAAAACTTTTTAGGTGTAACGCAATTAGTTAGGAGATTAAGCCTTAAATTGTTATTACACACGCACTTGATGCGAATTTGACGCTTCCCGTTGCGCGAATCCTGACTTAAATCAAACTTGTCTTGGGAGGTCATAACAAGTTTAAGTTATAGTCTCTATTCGGAACGGACAATAAGACACCTTGATAATTTCTGTAAGGG